AAAACAATATGTGTACTACTGTTTCATGAGAAACTATTTGTTCTGTAAGCCTTCACCTGAAGTACAAGAAAAAAAAAAAAGAAAGAAAGAAGAAGGAAAAAAAAAGAGCATAATGCTCAAGGCAGACATTTTTTACCAGTTAAGCTAAACTTCTTTTGGCTTTAAGAAGACTTCACGGGATATCTTTCGTTTAAGGTTTAAAGATTATCTCAGGGCAGTATTTTCAGGGGTTCATCCAACCTTCATGGCTCCAGGAAGTCTGGAGTCCATGAGATTTTGAAATCCCATTCTGAATCCCCTTTTGATCAGGATTCTTCTATGGAATCTTTGATCAGAATGTTGCATAATGGTAGCCAGGCAAAACCATCTAGTTTTTCTGGTCTCATGGTAAAGGAGGCAGTTGTTCATGGAAGCATTCCATATTCTCCTCCTATTCCTGACTCTCCTTCTTCCTCTGTTGCTCCAGGTGAATAGAGACCAATTGTTGTGCCTTGGATGGCCACTTGCAGGCTTTTAAGACCCTAGGCACTACACAACGAACTAGAAGGTAGAACAGAAGCACTAAACAACGTATTTTTTACTGAGGATGCCATAGTTCAAGTAGTAGTGATCCTGCCTCCACTACTAAATTGGATAATCTTGGCAGGATTACTAAAGATCTCATTGTTTCAGTTTCCTCATATCTAAAATAAGGTTGGTAATACCTACTCTACCAGATAGGAATGTTCTGCAGAACAAAGGAGAATTGAAATGACCTGGGGTAAATAGAAAACACCATACCAGCATGGCATGTCATTATGTACCATCACGTTGGTATTCTCCATTATCCTACACCATCCCTGCATCAATCCTCATCTTGATGAGCTATTTCCACTCCCTTTCCCAAGCAGTCTTTATTATCTTGGTCATTAATTTGGTTCCAAATTAATATTCCTTTCAAGCTGTTTCAAATATTGCAAAGAAAAAAAAAAAAAAACTGGAAAATGATTCCTAGGTAATCTGTATGGTGGCAGAGTTTTATAGCCATCTTTCTAAAGGATAAAGTGAGATTTTAGCATATGTTTCTAGTGCTGCTTACTAATACTCCACTTATTATTATGACTCTTTATAGGAAACCTGTGAATCCATCCTCAACGGTATACTAGAAGAAGTAAAGCAATTTCATGGACCACTGAAGCCAGACCGAAAGCTTTTTGGGTTCTGCATGCCCTCTGAGACGCCATCCACTGCCTCAGTAGCCGTCGTTCCAGAAGTTGGATTGGTCATTGATGGGAAGACGTTGAGTGTCATATTCCAGGGAAAGCTGGAGAAGAAGTTTCTGGAGTTGACCCAGTATTGCCGGTCTATCCTGTGTTGTCGCTCCACCCCACTCCAGAAGAGTATGATAGTCAAGCTGGTGCGAGACAAGTTGAGCGTCATGACCCTTTCCATAGGTACCCATCATGCTGAGATGTGGGTGGCAGTTTGGCAGAGGCCTGGACCAGAGGTGGGAGGTTAGGTATCAAAGTCCAGATGCTTAGGCTGAGAGTCATTGTCTGGGAGAAAATTCAAAGTAGCAATCAAGATGTGGCAGCCAGGAGATGAAGCTGACACTAACTAGAATTGGAGAGCGAATCCAAGTTCTAAGAAGGAAAACGCAGCTAAAAAAAAGTTAGTATTTGGATGGAGGTCAAAACCAACAGGGGCCTGGAATTCAGAACATCCAAGTAGCTCAAGAAATGTTACCGCCAACAATATGTACTCAGGTCACCTCAATTCTGGAATGCAGACCATTTCCCCCTCAATATTTAACACATGACCCAGTAGAATGAACCTCAGTTCAGTTGCTCGATTTTGCCTCTTGGCCCACAAAGCCTAAAATATTAACTATCTAGCCCTTTACTGAAAAAGTTTGCCAACCTCTGGTTTAAATCATGTTTGCTAATTTAGTATTCTGCTGAGTGTGGGCGGCTGATGGGGAGAATTTAAGACTGTTTATTTTCGTATGCTCATTGTTAAGTAAGTCCCAGTAGAAAGTATATTCTCAATAAATGCTGGCTAGTTGGTTGATGGCACAGTGGTTAAGCACTCAGATGCTAACCAAAAGGTCTGCAGTTCAAACCCATCAGCTGCTCCATGGGAGAAAGATGTGGCACTCTGCTTTCATAAAGATTTCAGCCTTGAATACCCTACGGGGCAGTTCTACTATGTCCTATAGGGTCGGTATGAGTCGGAATTGATTCAATGGCAATGGGTTTGGCTTGGTTTGGTTTAGATGCTGATGAAGAATTGCTCAGAGAGGACTTGACTTTGATTATGGTTGAGGCAGAGAAATAAAACTGTACTTACTTAAAACCGTCCAGAAACTCCCAAACCTGGTTTATGGGAATCTTCATTATCTGGTCTCCGTTAACTCTCCAACCACATCTCCCACGACGGCCACCTTCCCTCCCCAGCATTCAGCACTCTACATTCTAGCCAAATGAAACTACTTACCCTTCTTCACGGGCCATATCATCTCTGCACAAGCTACTCCCTCTGCAAGATACTCCTCACACTCCAACCTATCCTTCATTTCTTCTGGGAGCTTCCCCCATACCCAGCACTCATAGCTCCAAAATATTGTTAGACTGTGAGTTCCTTGAGTACAGGGACAATGTCAGTTTTACCACTTCACGTGCCCAGCACACACCAAGTTCATAGTAAAGGTTGCACCCACCTAGGGACATTCTTCCAGATAATGCCAGCCTCTCTTCTTCCTACACAGACATGGATAGAGATTTCCTTTCCTGGAATTTGAAACAACAGGTCTGGTCCACATTTTTTTTTTTTTTTTTCCCCTAGATCTTCGGGTAAAGGCAGTTCAGAACAAAAAAGGGCCAGAAAGAAAGTAGAGAGCAGACCTTTAGCAACTGCATCCTACTTTTACCCCGAATTGTCCTCTTCAGGAGTTCAGACACATACAATGCCATGGCCCAGACTGACTCCCTGAGGAGGGAGATTGGCTTCACTCCCATAGCAACAGAAAGAAAACCAGCAGGGCCAGAAATAGCATGATTCCCACCTCTACTCCCCCCAGCTCACAAGCAGAAGAGGTTAAAGGTTGGACTTGGACTTGTTTGACAATGAAGATTAAAATTATGCTCTGCTATGCTATCAATAAAAATTTATTATTAAAAAAATAAAGGCTACCTCTAAGGAAAAATTTTTAAGATCAATAAATTTGTTGACAAATAAGTAGAGGAATAAAGTCCTCTCCCCCTCAATTCCATATTCTCTATGATGAATAACATAAATCTAATTGCAGCTTATTATGAGAAGCTACTAGATAAAGAGGTAGGCCAGAGGAGAATGAAAATAATGTAGTCTAGAACAGGGATTAACAAACTACAGCTGGCAGGCCACATCCAGCCCACTATGTGTACAGGTACTAAGAATGGTTTGTATATTTTTAAATGTAAAATATGTAAAAGACTACTAGCCTTTCAGCAAGAAGAGTTGCTCAGTTTTGCCTCTTGGATCACAAAGCATAAAATATTTACTATCTAGCCCTTTACAGAAAAAGGTTTGCCCGCCTCTGATCCAAAAGATAAAGCCCTGGGGAGAGATGCGGGGTCAGGCTTGTGGAGAAGACTTCACTGTAGACAGCTGTGCTGTCCAACATGGTTGCCACTCTGTGGCTATTTAAATTTAATTAAAATTATTTAAATTCATCTCCTCAGTTATACTAGTCACATTTCAATAACCACATGTGACTAGTGGTTTCCGTATTGGACAGTGCAAATACAGAACATTTCCATCATTGCAGAGAGATCTATTTGATAGTGCTGGTATAGAAGGAGGCCATGTGTGTGTGCGTGCGTGTGTATTTATTTCCATGGCTTTACCTTCAATTTCCTGCGACAACTCAGTTCATTGAATGGAAACTCAATGGGACTAAATGAACCTCAACCAAAAAGATTAGACAATCCCATATTCCTAAAATCAGAAAGAAAACTGACCATTGTCCCTCCCCTTGGACCTTGGACACTGTTGACAACCTCTGGAGATTTGGCTGTCCAGATGTTCCAACTGTCTTGATATGGTCAGTATTTCAACTTATACTGAGTTAGGGAAAGAGTACTGGTCCTAGAATCAGAAAGATCTGTGTTCCTGTTTTATGGGTTGTTTCACTAGATGGATTTCCCCTGATGAGTTATTAAATTGTTAAAATTCTCCACCTGCTCATCAGTAAAGTCAGTTGTAACATTTGTGAAGGTCTTTTTTGTGAACTGTAAAGTATTGCCTAAATCTTTCTTGTTGATTATTGCATCCTCAGTATCTAACATTGTGCCCCCCCCCCAAAAAAAGGCAATAAATACTTGTTGAATGATGATGTAAAATAAAAGCAGGGCTCCTTGTGCAAAGAAGAGAAGATGTCTCTGAGGCCAAATACTGCAGCAATGATTTTTCCTACAGGACTATTCAGAGTAATGTTAAAGGGATTCAGTCTTATACAAATGGAGACCTTTTAGAGCCACTGAGCGTTAACTCATTCTAATTATCACTGAGCAGTGGAACAGGAATAAAGACATCTCATGACCTCACTTCTTTCAGGTGATGGAGCAAATGACGTGAGCATGATTCAAGCCGCTGATATTGGAATTGGGATATTAGGACAAGAAGGCTTGCAGGTATTGTTCCCTTAAACTGCTTTTGTTTCTTTTTACTCTTCTTTATCCTTATTAGCACGAGGGCAGTGGTGGTTCAGTGGTAGAAGTCTCTTTTTCCGTGCAGGAGACCCAGGTTTGATTTCCAGCCAATGCAATACAAGTGCAGCTGTCATTGGACATTTCTGTGTTGCTATCATGCTGAACAGGTTTCAACAGAACTTCCAGACTAAGACAGACTAGGAAGAAAGGTCTGGAAATCTACTCCTGAAAATCAGCCAATGAAAACCCTATAGATCACAATGGTCCACTCGACAACCAATCTTGGGGATGGCACAGGGCCAGGCAGCGTTTCATTGCATTGTGCCTGGGGTCTCCGTGAGTTAGGGGCTGACTCAATGGCAGCTCACAACAACAGCAATCCTTATTTGAGAGTTAAGGAATTCCCTCACAGTGCTGGAGGACCTTCTCAGAGAGAGCTTTGCAGGGTTATCATCAGAAAGTCAGGGGGTTTCCATGCCTGTGTATAGCCTCTATCACTACCTCCTTACTTCCAGTCCTTCAGAACACAGAGGGAGATCAAAGGATGCCTGGTTTTTTACAGACAGTAGTCATGTTTGTATTCTAAAACCAAAGAGTACCCAACCATTCAGGGAACCGTAAACCTTCCTCTGACTCCACGCTTCCTCACTGTAACCTCCACCCACATCCAAAGTTGCAATGCTCTCCATGACCAGTGGCAAATGTCAGGACATTAGAAAATATTTTTCAACTGCTGTTTTAGTCTTGATGACTAGACTGACCCATAAATTACTTGATACACTTTAATTTGGTGGCACAAACAGTTAAGTGCTCGACTACTAGCCAAACGGTTGGCATTTCAAACCCACGCAGAGGCACCTCAGAAGACAGGCCTGGTGAACTGCTTCCGAAAGATCACAGCCTTGAAAACCCTATGGAACAGTTCCACACTGCACACATGGGGTCACCATGAGTCGGAATTAACTCAACGGCAGCTAACAACAACAATGTAGTCAACATTCAGCCTAAAATAAGCATACTAACTTGAGCTGAGAAGTTTTCCGGTTAAAACAAACCCTCTTTGTGGTTTGGAATCATTAACAATTGTATTCTCAACATGGGTGCAGACATGTAATATGGCCTAAATTTGTTGTTGGGGATGAAAGAAGCATTAACCCAGAAGCCACAAAATAATTATGTGTTACCCTTTGAACATCGACCATACAGCAGCACTCTGTAGGTACTTCACATTTATTTTCATGCTTTGTGGTTTTTTTTTAATTGTAAAACATATATAACAAAAAGTTTGCCGTTATCCATTTTTAAGTGTACAATTCAGTGACATTAATTGCACTCACCATGTTGTGCAACCATCACCCCTGTCTATTTCCAAAGTTTTACGTCACTTCAAAAAAAAAAATTCAGTGCCCCTTCAACAATAACTCCCCATTCCCTCTCCCTCTCAGCCCCTGGTAAGCACTAATAAACTTGTCTCTATGTGTGTGCATATTGTAAATATTTTATATAAGTTGGATCATATGATAGTTGATCTTCTGTGTCTGAACTATTTCACTCAGCATAGTGTTTTCAAGGTACATCCATGTGGTAGCATGTATCAGAATTTCATTTCTCTTTATGTCTGAATAACATTCCATTGACTGGATATACCACATTTTGCTTATCCATCTGTCTGTTGATGGACACTTGGGTTGTTTCCACCTTTTGATTATTGTGAATAATGTTGCAATGAACATTGGTGTAGACTTTCTCATTTCATTTTAATAATCACCACAAGCCTATATGTTAGATATTTTTATTTTATTTTCTTCAGATGTGAAAAGTAAGGTTCAGAGAAGTTAAATAACCTGACGAAGGTTCATACCAGGATTTATAACCAAACATGTCTGACTCCAAACCTCATACTCAGAGTACTATGGGGAGTGGGGAATGGGGAGTTATACCTAATGGGTACTGAGTTTCTGTTTAGGGTGATGAAAAAATTTTGGAAATCGATAGTGGTGGTGGTTGCACAACATTGTGAATGTAATTAATGTCACTGAATTGTACACTTAAAAATGGTTAAAATGGTGAACTTTGATGTTTTTTATATATAGAAAAAAAAAAAAAAAAAGAGTTTTATGAACTTTACCTGTTCTGGGTAATCCTAAGAGCAGAAGACACATTTCAGCTCCATGTAAAAGAAGAGCTATTGAACCACCAGCTTCATGTGAGGTTGGAATAAATGGCCTGCCTCAGGAGGTGAAGAATGTTCAGAGGTTTGAGGATTACTTAAACAGAAGCTCCTACTGTCTGGTTAACCATCACATCTAAAATAGGGCCTCGCACATAGTAGGCCTCAATAAATGCTTGTTGGATAAATAGATGGAGATGAAGGGCCAGACGGGACCACTGGTCCCTTCTGGCCCACCCTTCTTGTACTGTAGTGAAGTCTGGATTTCCTAGATGAGAGGATGGGTGCCAGAGTCCAAGGAGCCATCCAAGGAAGACCAACACTAGTTCCTTGTCTTACCACATAACAACAAGGGATGTTTCAGAGCAGCCAGTTGACACCAGAGAATAAAGCATGGCCCTGGGGGGAGTTCTAGGGCAATGGCGCCTGTACATGGATACTGATGTCTCCGTTCTCCCCTCTCAGGCCGTCATGTCCAGCGACTTCGCCATATCCCGCTTCAGTCACCTCAAGAAGCTACTGCTCGTTCATGGCCACTGGTGTTACTCACGCCTGGCACGGATGGTGGTGTACTTCTTCTACAAAAACCTGGTGAGCATATCTCTTTGGGAGCAAGGGAGAATGAAGAGAACAGGATACAAGGAAAAGATTAGTCCAAAGGACTAATGGACCACAGCTACCAAGGCCTCCACCAGAC